TGGAGGACCTAGCCAGAAAGGGGATTGCTGGATCCTGGCTTACAGCAGAGTACACAGTGACCTTTGTCCCCTAGCTCAGTGCAGTTCTGCAGGAGGAAGGGGTAGTCCCATGGCCAAGAATGCTACAGGGGATTTTGTTGGTACCTTCTGTTTCAATGGCCTCCCCAAGAGATGACTGTCAAATGTGCATTCTTCTGCCTATCAGCATAGACTGACTGGTGAAGAGTCCTGCTAGTTTTCCTAGTGGTGTGAGTAGTGCCAATTCTTTGGTCTCACACTCTAGCCTGGCTAACCTCCTGCCCTGTGGAATACAAATGGGCTGGGCATGCCTAACTTTGTGTACTGAAAGACATGCCAGATAACTGGTTTTATAGAACAGAAATTAATGCCCTCAAGATCAAGGATTCTGGTTGAGAAGAAGTGAGAGAGGGAAGGTTAGAAATGTCACACATGGCTGGGCATGATGGCTCACACCTGTAATCCCAGCACTTTGGGAGGCCAAGGCAGGCGGATCACTTATGTCAGGGATTTGAGACCAGCCTGGCCAACATGGTGAAACACCGTCTCTACTAAAAATACAAAAATTAGCTGGGTGTGGTGGCGCATGCCTGTGATCCCAGCTACTCAGGAGGCTGAGGCAGGAGAACCACTTGAACTCGGGAAGCAGAGGCTGCAGTGAGCCAAGACTGCATTGCTGCACTCCAGCCTGGATGCCACGGTGAAATTGTCTCAAAAAAAAAAAAGACATACATAAGAAACACCTTCAGACAAATTTCATTCCTAGCACCTGACCTCACAGAAGGCAACTGAGGTCAGAAATGCATCACTGGCCAAACTTTCTCATGATGTTTAGAATAACTAGCATAAAGATGACAATTTCTGAAGACTCTCCACCTGGGCGGAGTTCTTCAAATCTTAAAACTAGCTGTTCTTATTTCACTGCTCCCCCAGAATGCGTCTGTAAACAGAATTGTATGATGCAAGGTAGAGCAGTGAAGGACATCACAGGCATGCATGTCTAGGTCGCTCATTTTATGAAGAGGCAACACCAGCCCAGAGACAAAATAGTAGCATGACTAAGGACAACAGACACTAGGAGCTTAATCATCCTTGAGATGGGAGAGGGGCTGCTATCTGCATGAGTGCAGAAACATGGAGGAACAGGCCAGGAGCAGTGGCTCATGCCTGTTATCCCAGCACTTTGGGAGGCTGATGCTGGCGGATCACTGGAGGTCAGGAGTTCAAGACCAGCCTGGCCAACATGACAAAACCCTGTTTCTACTAAAAATACAAAAATATCCAGGTATGGTAGCACATGCCTGTAATCCCAGCTACTCAAGAGGCTGAGGCTTGAGAATAACTTGGAACCCAGGAGGAAGAGGTTTCAGTGAGCCAAAATCACACCATTGCACTCTAGCCTAAATGATAAGAGTGAGACTCCATTTAAAAAAAAAGAAACATGGAGGATAAACTCCATGGGCACTGGATGAAAGCTCCAGGAATCACCTGATAGACCATTACTGTTGCTAATACTTGGGGTTTAAACACAGAGTTAGGAACGTCTATGGCTGGTCATCAGGATTTGTTCAATGAACAAACGAGCTCAGGCAGACCTAACTTCTGACATTCCAAGTCAGAACTTGGTAATACTTGTCTGAATTCACAACTGATTATTAAGTTCCTGATCAACACTCCACGTTTTATTTATATGTCAGAAAACAATCAGGTAACAGTATGTATCACTGGCCATGATTTGTCTCTAGAGAGAATAGGTAAAGGAAACAAAATTTATACTTAACATGATGCTGTTAAGTGACCCCAATTTCCTCCCACATTTTTTTTTGAAACGGAGTTTTGCTCTGTCACCCAGGCTGGAGTGCAGTGGTGTGATCTCAGCTCACTGCAACCTCCACCACCTGGATTCAAGCGATTCCCCTGCCTCAGCCTCCCGAGCAGCTGTAACTATAGGCAACCACTACCGTGCCAGGCTCATTTTTCGTATTTTAGTAGAGACGAGGTTTCACTATGTTGGCCAGAATGGTCTCCACCTCCTGACTTCGTGATCTGCCCACCTCGACCTCCCAAAGTGCTGGGATTATAGGCGTAAGCCACAGTGCCTGGCTTCCTCCCACATTGTAATACTATTTTAATTGTTGTTATAAAAGTAAGTGATTCCCTGTCACTATATAATCAGGTAACTTATTCAGGTAACTTTGATGGAACAAATTTCTATCTTCCTGTTAGGACACACTCACATAGTCCTCATGTAATCTTCGCTCTTCAAGGCTGAGATTGTGGATGATATGATCTTGACATTGTCCTAGAATGTCTTACGTCATAGCAATACTACCACGAAGACCAAACCACATTTTTTTTCCTTTTTGGGGAGAATAGGGTCTTGTTATGTTGCCCAGGCAGGTCTCAAACTCCTGGACTCAAGCTATCCTCCTGCCTACGCCTCCCTAAGAGCTGGGATTACAGACGTGAGCCACTGAGACTGGCCACAATTTTTTTTTTAATTAAAAAAATTTTTTTAGAGACATGATTTGACTATGTTGCCCAGGCTGGTCTTAAACTCCTGAGCTCAAGCATCCCAAAGTGCTGAGATTACAGGTGTGAGGCACCACGCCTGGCTGACATTTAATTTTTAAAACTTTGAAACAAAGACAGTTTGGTTTTTAGAGGGTTCAGCTTATTGGGCCCTAGTGGTTACCAATATTTCCATCTACCAGTTTCTTGGGTCCTAAATTTCTTATGTTCTCACAGCTTGGCCCTTTAATATAGGCAGGTGTCTCTGTCCAAATGAGGGCAAGATCAAATTGAAATAAGGCTTTACTATAGCATGAGCTTCCTTTTATCATCTGAAAAGAAACTGTAGGTATAGTGAGCTGTCACAGCATCCTTGCTCATTCTGGTTATAGCTGTGTTATAGAGAAGAAAATTATATAAGTAAGTAACAAGAGACAGATGTTTTGTACTTTTTTTTTTTAAGACAGAGTCTTGCTTTGTCGCCAGGCACCAGGCTGGAGTGCAGTGGCATGATCTTGGCTCACTGCAACCTCCGCCTCCCAGGGTCAAGCGATTCTCCTGCCTCAGCCTCCCGAGTAACTGAGACTACTGGTATGCACTACCGTGCCCAGCTAATTCTTATATTTTTAGTAGACAGGGTTTCACCATGTTGGCCAAGATGGTCTCTATCTCTTGACCTCGTGATCTGCCTGCCTCAGCCTCCCAAAGTATTGGGATTACAAGTGTGAGCCACCATATCTGGCCTCTATGTTTTTTAGACAGAATCTCACTCTACTGACCAGGCTGGAATGCAGTGGTGCAACCTTGGTTCACTATAACCTCTGCCTCCTGGGTTCAAGTGATTCTCTACCTCAACCTCCCAAGTAGCTGAGATTACAGGTGCCCACCACCATGCCCGGCTACTGTTTGTATTTTTAGTAGAGACGTGTTTCATCATGTTGGCCAGGCTGGTTTCAAACTCCTGACCTCAGGTGATCCACCTGCCTCTGCCTCCCAAAGTGCTGGGATTATAGGTATGAGCCTGTGAGCTACCTTGCCTAGCCCCTTTTTTTTTTTTAAAAGACACTGTGCCAGGCTATTTTTTATTTTTTGTACAGACAGCATCTTACTATGTTGCCCAGACTGGTTTCAAACTTCAATGATCCTCCTGCCTTAGCCTCCCAAAGCACTCAGATTACAGGTGTGGGCCACCATGCCCAGTTCTGCTGGGTTTCATTGGTGAGTTTGTTTTCCTGGCAAGAGATATACTAGATACCCTTACATACCATCCACAACAATTGAAATACAATATTGTGATTGTTAATTTTATGTGTTAACTTGACTGGGCCATAGTGTGCCCAGATATTCAGTCCAATATTATCCCAGATGTTTCTGTGAGGGTGTTTTTGGATAAGACTTTTTTTTTTTTTTTTGAGACTGAGTTTCACTCTTGTCACCCAGGTTGGAGTGAGTGCAATGATGCAATCTTGGCTCACTGCAACCTCCACCTCCTGCGTTCAAGTGATTCTCCTACCTCAGCCTCCCGAGTAGCTGGGATTACAGGCATGTGCCACTATGTCTGGCTAATATTGGTCTTTTTAGTGGAGACTCGGTCTCACCATATTGGCCAGGTTGGTCTCGAACTCCTGACCTTGGGCAATCAACCCACCTCCACCTCCCAAAGTGCTGGGATTACAGGCCTGAGCCATCATGCCCAGCCTGGATAAGACTAACATTTAATTTGGTATAGGAGTAAAGCAGATTACCTTCCCTAATGTGGGTGGGCCTCATCCAATCAGTTGAAGGTGTGAATAGAACAAAAAGGCCAACTCTTCCCCAAGTAAGAGAGAATTCTCTTTCCTGCTCACCTTTGAACTGGGATATTGTCTTTTTTCCTGCCTTTGGACTCTAACTAAAACACTGGTTTTTCCTGGGTCTTGAGCTTGCTGGCTTTTGGACAAGAACAACAACATTGGCTCTTCTGAATTTCAGAGCCTCAGACTTGGACTAGAACTAAGCCATTGGCTCTCCTGTGTCTCCAGCTAGCCAATTCACCCTGCATATCTTGGGACTTGACCACCTCCATAACTGTGTGAGCCAATTCCATATAATAAATCTTTAGGCTGGGCACAGTGGCTCACACCTGTAATCTCAGCACTTTGGAAAGCTGAGGCAGGAGGACTGCTTGAGCCCGGGAATTCAAAACCAGCTTGGACAACATAGTGAGATCTGCCACTAAAACAACAACAACAACAACAACAAAAACAAAAAAACTTATACACACACATAGACACACCCCTACTGACTGCTTCTCTGGAGAACCTTGACTAGTACGCACGTCCAGGGCTAATTTTCAAGGGCTCCCTAATTTTCCTGAGCTCATACCGCAATCCCAGATCTGCTAGAAGAGTGTATCTGCCAAACGAGTGCTATAATGACCTGGAGCCCTGAAACAAAACGGCAAACATATAACACAAGACTACACCAGAAAGTCAGACATGATTTGTCAGCCTTTATTAATCAAGAGTAAAGCCAAGCCCTAGAGTTTCCTTAACAAAAACAAAAAGAATATCAACCTTATTTATGGCAAACAGACTTAATTCTTAATGACTGTTCATTATATTTTTAACACCACAGAGCAAGAATTGATCTCTTTTCAATCACTTATTATTCTGAGATTAAAATACAAGTTTAAAACAGGTTAAAATAAAATTCACCCCAATGACTTAAAAAATAATTCCAATTGAAAGACATTTCAAACACTATATGTAGAACTCAGGACCAAAAGAAGACTTTAAAACATTTTTTACCGTTGAGGTAGCACAATAATGCTGAATCAGATTTCTTTTATTACAGTGAGCTTAAAAAAAAAACATGGAATCTACCCCCTACTCAAGGTGGGCTAAATGGTTTTATGAAAGCCCCCATGAGGTTAGTGACTTCTTGTCCATTTTTTTTTTAAGTATAAAGATAGCCCTGCAGTGTGTAAAAGGAAACCTATGGGAAGGATGCTTCCCATAAAATAGACAATAGAATAATTGAGGAACGTCAGCAGTCAAGACAGGAGGAACAAGAGGTAACCATAGTGAAAACCAAAACAACTCATATCTTGGCAAGACTGGTTTACAAGTGCATGACAAGAACAAAAATTCCAACATCAGTCAACTGAAAATAAAAGATAGAAGATGACATTCATGAGTCTTCTTTCTTTTTCCTCTGTGTAAAATGCTCTTTTTTCTAAATGAGAGAAGCTTGTACACTGTGACATAGGTGCTAACAGCACCTTTCACTGAATACAATATTACTGTGCACAGAGAAAATGGGCAATTAGAGGATAAGCATAACCTCTCCTAGCTGGATAACCATTTCTTGTCACTTTGCTGCTGAATTCACTCATTAAACTGTTCAAAAGGAAAGCTCTACCCTGATTTCTGAGAGTCTAGAGCAATATATGTAACACAATTATATATGAAGACTATTGACTAACAGGACAACAGCACATGTACCTTTTCTTCAGAGAATTCAACCAAGAGAAGAGAGTGGGTGGGATATGCTGGGGGCCAAAAGGGAGGGTCTCAGGAATATTCTCTAACATCCAAAATCAATAGCAAAGCCAGAAATGGGGTATGAGCCCTAACTCATTGAAGAGAACAACATAAAATAGTTAACAAAGGGATCTCTTCCCAACACATGCTCCTCTCCATGAGGCTCAACCATCAGTGCAGGGCTTGCCTGATGTGGACAATGTGGATACCTCAGCCCTGAGTTGAACTTGGTCTGCCACCTTTGATTCCCCATGCTGCAAAAAGAATTGGAACGCTGTCAGGTCCTGGCACTGTGGTAATGGCTATATCCTATTTTACTCACACACGTCCTTTTAAAGTCTCCCTTCCTCAAGCTATTAAATAGAACCCCCTAGGAATCCTATATGCAGTGCAGGTCTGAACTGATGATCCGTATGTCAATCAGTAGTTAGAGGAGGATGACTTTTTTTGGAGACAGAGTCCCACTTTGTCCCCCAGGCTGGAGTGCAGTGGCACAATCATGGCTCACTACAGCTTCAATCTCCTGGGTTAAAGCAGTCCTTCCACCTCAGCCTTCTGAGCATGCACTACCAGGTCCAGCTAATTGTTTGTGTGTGTGTGTGTGTGTGTGAAGAGACAGGTTCTGCCTCTGTTGCCCAGGATGGTTTGAAACTTCTGGGCTCGAGCAATCCTCCCACCTTGGCTTCCCAAAGTGCTGGGATTACATGCATGAGCACCATGCCCAACCTGAGCCGGATGACTTAAACCTGATCAATTCTACTCCAAAACCATCAAGTCAGGGATATCAAGGAGGGGTCTGTGAAGAGAAAGACTAGACTGAGACTGTGTGAGAATGGGATGAGAAGGCCCATCCCTAGCAGACTGCAGGAGTGACTGGCATAGAATTCACAGCCAGCCCTAACTAGTGTGATGGGTGGTAGGGAGGAGGCATCTGCTCAGTGTTCAAACAAAATCCTCACAAGTTCTAGGGCTGGACCTCTGCGTCACTCCTGAAACCCAATGGACCTGTTACCTTTGCAAGAAACTGGTATGGTTTTTGTCTGCTAAGTACAAGACTTGCTTTCTGAATTTATTTGATAATAAAGTAACACCATGGAGAAAAAGAACCTCAGAAAAATGTGGGATCACTATATGGTCTTTCTCAGTGCTAGCTGCCTGTTTGGGAGTATTAATTATAACCTTTCACTATTCTGAAAGCTTCAATGTAGGCTACAGAGGGCAGTCTGAAAAGACTTATGCTTTTGCTTTGTGAAGCATAAGAAGAGAAATTACCAAGGTTGTGGTGGGTTATTTACTTTGGAAATATCTTGGCTACACTGCCCGTGGCAAAGCAGAAAGCCTAGCTAATGTGGACAATGAAAGGTGACTATGTGGGCCATCATTATCTACAACAGGAATGACTCAAGCCCTAGCATGTAATCTCTTAGGGACTTACTGAGTTATACAAGTTAAAAAAAAAAAAAGTCATATTGGAATGGGCCTCTTGATTTAATATAAACTTGGTTATAACATTCAAATTTATCTTTATGGAAATTTCACACTGCTCCTAGGAATCCTTACAGTATCTGATTCTAAGTTATTCTGAAGGAAAAAAAAATTATTCTGAAATATGCCTTGTTAGGATGATCACTGGAATTCTACCTGAGAGAATGAAAAGGCTAAATGGGTTTTAAATAAAAACAAGTGAAATTACCTTCTTCTGGGGTTAACAATTAGAATTCCAAATACCCCAACATCTTACCTAGAAAGGCCTTCACAGTAATTCTATGAAATTGTAAATGATGCCAATTTTTGAAAACAGATTTGATCTTTAGGATAAATGCCTGTATCAGCTGACAAACTCCATATATATGAATATGTCCAAGTTAAATTACCTAAAGAATAATTTTTTCTTTTCCTTTACTTGAGACAGAGTCTCACTGTGTCACCCAGACTGGAGTGCAGTGGCAGGATCACAGCTTACTGTAGCCTCGACCTCCTGGGCTCAAGTGATCCTCCCCACCTCAGCCTCCTAAATAGCTGGGACTACGTGCAGGCACCACCACATCTGACAAATTTAAAAAAAATTTTTTTTTTTTTTTGTAGAGATAGGGTCTCACTTGTTGCCCAGGCTGGTCTTAAGCGATCCTCCCACCTCAGCCTCCTAAAGCACTAGGATTATAGGCATAAGCCATTGAGCTTGGCCTGAGAAATAATTTGTTTTAATTTCAAAAAAGTAGCTGTTGCTTCTTTAAGGAGATTAAAAATTGGCGGGTTCAACAGCAAAGCTACACAATAACTCTCTGGAGTAGAAGCAAAGAGCTCTCTTTATAGTACAACCTCTTATTGGAGTACAACCTCTTGCCAGCCTACTGCCATTAGCCAGTAGAGGCAACTGCAAACAAATGGCAGGAGTTGCCCAGGAAGGTATTTGGGTCGGACAAAGTGACAGCAACCCTCCAGATCCTGGCTCCTTATAAATGGATAGCAATTCATTCATGCAAACTGCACAGAGGTTAAACAAAACCTACTAAAAAAAAATCCCCAACCCAGAAAACCTTTCCTGGCTCTCTACTAACAGTAAAATGTGCTGAGCCCAAATTTTCTGCTCTAACATGGGTCCCACTGACCTCAGTCTGCTCTGGGATGCTGATATGCTGGGTCCTGAGCAGGGTCTTTCCCTAAGTATCACTGTGGGTTTGGAGACAGTTGTCAGCAGACAGTACAATGCCACTGGGCTATATATGCCCATCTCATCCACCACCATTTCCCACTGTAAAACCAAAGGCTGCAACTGTGAACAAATGTGGACTTTCTCAAAGGACAAATGAGGAGACTGAAGGCTACATTTCCTCCTTTGAGAAAGATTAGAGAGTGTCTACACTTATACAACAGGATTCTGCAGACCCTGTGGTAACTTCCAAAAGCAAGAGTAGCAGCAAGAGAGGAAAGGAGCATGTTTATACTTTGGACTTTGTATCAGGCACTTAAATTGTTGGAGAGACATGCCGTTCTGAACCAAAGATGTGAAAACTGGGTTGGAGTAATCTTTACAAGTGGTCTAATAATGGGCTTTCAGAAGCAAAGTGGAGGTGTGGGTTGAACCTCTGCCCATCCTTTAGTGCTGACTTTCAAGTTTTCTAAATGCCCATAACCACAGCGATGGTAGCAGTGGTGGCAATGGCAGGAACGGTTCTGTCATGTCTGTTTTCTGTATGTGTTCTGTGGCTGACCAGAAGGTTTTGGTGTCACACTAAGAAGGCTCTGGGGTGTGGCACACCTACTGCCCGAGGTTGCCCAAATCCATGCTGGAGCCAAACATCTTCACCAGCTGTTCCTCATAGTGTGAGATGTTCCTCTTCATGATGTCCATGCAGGGCCCCAGAAGCCTCTCAAATGCTTGTACATCCATAACTGCATTATTAAAAAGAGGTGAGGGAGACAATGAATTCAAGCCATTTATTTTATGCAAACCTTTTCCTAAACACACCCATTCATGTTATAGGAGCTTACACCTTGGGACAATGGCCACCTGCAAAAAGAGATGTTTCTATATGAATGCAGAAAGACTGTATCCTGTATCATCCATGTTAGAGACTTTACAGAGTCCAGCAGCACCTATTCTCCCATTCTCCCACAGCCATGGACATCAGCTCTTTTCATATGGCTAAAGGGCCTGTATACCTGTCTTGCTCACAGGCTGTTGCCAGTGCTCAGAAATGTTTTCTGAATGTATCCATTCATCCATCTCTGGTTGATCACATAAACTACCTAGGCCTAGACAGCAGTAAAAGCTGGCAGAATACATCAAGCCTTGTTGGTGGGAAAAAATATTACATGTTAGAAAAAGAGTAACAATGCATAAAGAACTTTTCTTACCTAAGCATTTGACATCTCCAACTGCATAAGCTGAAGCAGCTCTGGGTTTGTTGGTAACCAGGGCAAGTTCTCCAAAGTACTGTCCCTTATGGCAACGGGTAATCTCGACCTCCTGGTTTCCACCATCCTTGTTTGATTTAGTCTAGAGCAGATAAAGAACATGACCTGGGCTGATTCCAGGATCACAACTAGGCATGTCCAGCTGCACACATATGCATTTTACTCAGCATACTCCACACAATTACTGAGGAATTCACTTTGCAGAAAATTCACTAACTGTACCATGTAAACTCCACAGACTAATCTCAGTGGTCTGGTTTGATCACAGGAGTTTGTTTTTACCTAGGGCTCCATCTGAGTCCTAACATTTTTAAGGTGATCTATAGCCAAAACACCCTGAACATGCCCAATCTTGTCTAAATCAGGACAATGCTTCTCTTAGGTAATGCGCCACAAACTTGAGCTACTTCTCTGATTTGAGATTGTGCCTTGAACAACATTTTACAGTGACAAAATTCCCCATCGCCCCCACCTTTTTTCTTTTTTTTTTTAAGAAACAGCGTCTTACTCTGTCATCAAGGCTGGAGTTCAGACGCATGATCACAGCTCATGTAGCCTTGAATTGCTGGCCTCAAGCAATCCTCCTGTCTTGGCCTCCCAAAGTGCTGGGATTACAGGACTGATTCACTGCTCCTGGCCAACGAATTTAAGTACTATCTGTACCTTAAATTAGTGGTCTCTCCTCCCATTTTTTAGAATAAGAGTTAAGTAACTAACTTTAAGATAACATACTACATTGTATTAATATCTAGAGTTTTTTTTTTAAACAAATCAAACTGCCAAGCAAAGTGATAATATAAGTAAAAAATTCTTTAGAATTTATTAGTAAGAATTAGTCTCAATCTCTAAGAACCACTTTATGCTCTAGGCAGAAAGATAATTTCCTTTTTGGTTAATTTGAAAAATAAAACTAACACTAGTTAGTTTTGACTCTTCTTCCTTCTATATTTCTGCCCTGTTGCTCTGAAGTTGGTCTGCCCTGTTGTTCTGAAGTTGGTCTGTTCCATCTGAGCCAACTTTCTCTTTCCAATCATTTCAGTAGCATTCTCTGGAGCTGCAGCCATATTCGTGCCCACTTAGTCCCTTCTCTAGAACAGAAGGGGCTTACACACTGTCACGTACACACCAGCTCCCATATTATGCAGGTTTTCTAGCAATGCAGATTCTGATTCAGTAGGTATGGGGAAAAACCCAAAACTCTGCACTTCAGACAAGCCCACCACTCTCCAATATTCCCGTGCCATGCTGCTGCTGATCCTATGCACCTAACACTATGCTGTGATCACATTAGGTGTCAATGAATATCTGAGAAATCTACAACCATCTATCACTAGCCCAAAAACTGTAAGTAAAATAACACAGGCATTTCAAATTAATGTTTTCATGTGAAACAATAGATCTACATTTAATCAAGAATCAAGCTATCAGCTGAATGTGGTGGCTCATCCCTGTTTTCCCAGCGCTTTGAGAGGCTGAGGCGGGCGAATCACCTGAGGTCAGGAGTTCAAGACCAGCTTGGCCAACATGGTGAAACCCCATCTCAAAGTACAAAAAATTAGCCAGGTGTGGTGGCGGGATCCTGTAGTACCAGTTACTCAAGAGGCTGAAGCAGGAGAATCACTTGAACCTGGAGTGAACCACTGTACTCCAGCCTGGGTGACAAGAGCGAGACTCTGGCTTAAAAAAAAAAAAAAAATCAAGCTATCTTCAGCTATTCAGTAAGCTGAGGCATAAGAATTGATTGAAACCAGGAGGCAGACGTTGCAGTGAGTTGAGATTACAGCATTATACTCCAGCCTGAGCAACAGAGCAAGACTTGGTCAAAAATAAAATAAAATAAAGAGAAAACAAATCCAGTTATCTTATAGACAGTAATATTCTTTTTTCTTTTTCCAAACTTTTTAACTTTACTCAATATATTTTGCAAAAGTTTTTATACTAGCTCAATTTAGTATTATATATAACTGTTTCAACAAATTCTATATTCTCAAAAAAGAAAAAAAAAGGAACCGGAAAAATCTGATGATGATAGATTTACCGGTAAGAGTCATCCCCGCCTACTTACAGCTCCTCAGTTTTCTAGGTCACACCATCCATCAAATGACCAAAATTTTCCTAGAGACCTCCTCTGCAGAGCTCTAAAAAGGAAGCTTTCTTTATGTTCACCCCTTCCAATCTTTTTTTATTATGTAATTTCCCTATTTTCTTTACTTTTTTTTTGAGACAGGGTCTTGCTCTGTCAACCAGGCTGGAGTGCAGTGGCACAATCACGGTTCACTGCAACCTCAATCTCTTAGGTTCAAGAGATCCTCTTGCTTAGGCCTCCAAAGTGCTAGGATTACAAGTTTGAGCCACTGTACACAGCCACCATTTTCTATTAGGGTTTTAATCTTTTTCTCATTGATTTGTAGGCCAATATTCCCCAAATCATTAATTACATGGCAGAGCAAAAGGCAGTAAGAACAAGAAGAAATATACTAAATCTCTATCAATGGATAAGCTTAAACATGGGTCTTTGCCAGTCACACACCTCATAAAACAATGACGGTCTGGTGCACGCAACACATTTCACATTATTTAAAGCACACCGTTACTTTTTGTGTGTACATCATCACATATAAACTAATAAACTCACCTTGCTTCTAATCAAAATGCTCACTTCACCAGACTCTATGATGTAAAAGCTATCAGCCTTTTCACCCTGAAAGAAAAGAGGTCAGGTCAGAGCCATACATAGTATTGACAGGGAATAAAGAAATAGATTCCTTTTTCACTGCTTAAAGCTCTGATTTGTATTTATTTTCTAACTCTATAAATGAATCAATAGTTTACAAATTCAGAGCAAAATGAGGATTCTGATCACTGGGGACATCAACCCAACTACAACTGATACATGTCCAAACTCTTTATTTTTTTTCTTTTTCTTTTTCCTCACAGACAAGAAACATCTCTGAACTCTTAACATGAACTACTCACATTTATCTCCATGAATGCGCACAGGCTGCCAAGTGCACAAAACATGGCTGTTCTGATTGCTCATATTGGTCTGCTATTGAAACCTATGGCAGGGACCGGTAGCCAAGGCTGTTACAGACAATGTCAAGGTGATTCCTGGCTAAACCTGAAGTAGGGGGTAATCTTGAACCATTAAATATAACTCTCACCAGTTGACAGCATGGATCTGGAAGGTTCTGTCTTGGTGAAAGAGGTGCTTTGATGTTACCCTTATACGCCTTAGGCTTTTCTTTTGCTTATTTTGATTTTATTTTATATTTTTAATTATTTATTTTTCTGGAGACAGCACTTTGCTCTGTTGCCCAGGCTGGAGTGCAGTAGCATGATCATGGCTCACTGCAGTCTCAACCTCCCAGGCTCAAGTGATCCTACTGCCTCAGCCTCCGAAGTAGCTGAGACTACAGGTGCACACCACTATGCTCAGCTAACTTTTGTATTTTTTGTAGAGACAGAGTTTTGCCATATTGCCCAGGCTGGTCTCAAACTCCTGGACTCAAGTGATCCACCCATCTTGGCCTCCCAAAGTGCTGGGATTATAGGCATGAGTCTGCTTGTTTTGAATTTAAACCACATGGTTAAACCAGTCATTCAGGTAATTCAGCAAGTAATTTATTTACCAAGCATTTACTATGTGCAAGGCACTGTTCTAGGCATGTGATATATACCCAGTGGACAAAACAAATACCCCTTGGCCTTGTAGAACTTAAGGTCTGGTAGGGTAAACAAACCTTCAACAGTCAACATAATAAATCAGTAAATTGTACTGTTCTGTTGCAAGGTGATAAGCACTACCGGAAAAGAGTAGAACAGGGAATAAGAGATCTGGAGTGCTGGTGAAGGAGACCTTGGGACTATACTCATATATTACAAGAGACTATACTCATATATACAAGAGTACTTCACTGCAGCTGGGTGTGGTGGCTCATGTCTATAATCCCAGCACTTAGGGAGACCAAGGCTGGGGGAGTGCTTGAGGCCAGGAGTTCAATACTAACTTGGACAATACAGCGAGACTCTGTCTCAACAAATAAAATATTTAAAAAATTAGCTGGGTATGATGGCATATGCCTGTAGCCCTAGTTATTAGGGAAGCTAAAGCGGGAGGATCATGTGACCCCAGGAGATGGAAGCTGCAGTGAGCTATGATCCTGCCACTGTCTCCAGCCTTAGCAACAGTGAGACCCTGGCTCTTAGGAAAAGAAAGAAAAAAAAAAAAAAGGAGGTTCACTGAGAAGGTGAGATTTGAACAGACTAGGAGGATGTCTGAGTTAGGCATGCATATATACACGAAGCATCTTTCAGGCATACTTCATTCAGTTTCTTGACCCCTCACTATTAACTTTTGGAGCAATGATCATTTATATCAGATAATGCAGTATTACTCATGCATTCTCACTGTGTGGGTCTTATGTCTTCAGTGAGACTCTACTTCTGAGGCTTTTGCAAACTTCATATCCTTTGACCATCACACAGAGCCCCATACACAGCTAGGCTGACATTTCTGAGTTAATCTAGTCCCACCACATATTACTGCCCCATATGAGTAAATGCCACAGCTTTACAAAGGGGTGCCTATGGGTTTCTGCCCTGCTATATTGGGTAGGTACCCTACAGCCAGCAGAGCCAAATCACCATGAAATTCTAGCATTACACAAACAGCTGCATGATAGGAGCTGACAAAGGATGAGGAGCCATGAAAGAAACTTAGTAGGAACCAGAGGCAGAGTCACAAACAGGGAGAGGTAATTCACCAAGAAGAGCGTGACAAGTGGTAGGAAAGATCTGCAAGTGATACGTGGTGAAGGATAGTGCTTGGGCCCTTTCTGTTTAGATAGGTGTATAACATCCACCATTTAAAGTGCTCACATTTCAAGGCTATATAGCTTGATGACATTTTACATATGTATAAACCTGTATAACCACCTCCTATATCAAAATAGAAAACATATCCATTCTCCAAAAGACTCCCTCTGGAGTTCAGTCAAAACCACCACATTCCTACCCATGAAATAACTATAATTTCTGTCCTTGTAGGTTTTGGCCATTCTTTAACTTCATATAAATGGAATCATACATTCTCTTTTGTATCTAGCTTCTTTTAGTCCATATTGTTAGATCACACTTTGAAAGTGTCTGGCTAGGCAAGAATTAGCCTGGTAGCTAGAGTAGAAACAAAGCGAAGAAAGGAGGGTACATGTGTTATAAAGACAGCAGAGGATGGGCGTAGTGGTTCACACCTGTAATCCCAGGACTGAGGGGGGCAGATTGCTTGAGGCCAGAAGTTTGACACCAGCCTGGGCAACATGGTAAAACTCCATCTCTACTAAATACAAAAAAAGGACAGGTATGGGCCGGGCACAGTGGCTCATGCTTATAATCCCAGCACTTTGGGAGGCTGAGGCGGGTGGATCACGAGGTCAAGAGATGGAGACCATCCTAGTCAACATGGTGAAACCCCGTCTCTACTAAAAATACAAAACTTAACTGGGCATGGTGGCGCACCTGTAGTCCCAGCTACTCGGGAGGCTGAGGTAGGAGCTGCTTGAACCCAGGAGGCGGAGGTTGCGGTGAGCCGAGATCGCACCATTGCACTCCAGCCTGGGTAATAAGAGCAAAACTCTGTCTCAAAAAAAAAAAAAAAAAAAGGACAGGTATGGTGGCTCACACCTGTTATCCCAGTGCTTTGGGAGGCTGAGGTGGGCGGATCACCTGAGGTCAGGATTTCGGGACCAGCCTGACCAACATGGTGAAACCCATCTCTACTAAAAGTAGAAAAATTAGCAGGGCATGATGGCAGGTGCTTGTAATCCCAGCTACTTGGGAGGCTGAGGCAGAAGAATCGCTTGAACCAAGGAGACAGAGGTAGCAGTGAGCCTAGATCACGCCATTGTCCTCCAGCCTGGGCGACAAGAATGAAACTCTGTCTCAAAAATAAAAAAAACAAATAGATACATACATACATATATATACAAAAATTAGCCGGGGTGGTGGGTGCACACCTGCAATCCCAGCTACTTGGAAGGCTAAGGCACAAGAATTGTCTGAACCTGGGAGGTGGAGGTTGCGGTGATCCGAGATTGTGCCACTGCACTCCAGCCTGGGCAAAAGAGTGAGATGCTGTCTTAAAAAAAAAAAAAAGACCAGGAACAGTGGCTCATGCCTATAATCCTAGCACTTTGGTAGGCCAAGGTAGGCAGATTGTCTGACCTCAGCTTGGGCAACATGGTGAAACTCCATCTCTACTAAAAATACAAAACATCAGCCAGGCGTGGTGGTACACGCCTGTAATCCCGACTACTCAGGAGGCTGAGACATGAGAATTGCTTGAACCTGGGAGGTGGAGGCTGCAGTGAGCCAAGATTGTGCCACTGCACTCCAGCCTGCATGACAAAGCAAGACTGTCTCAAAAAAAAAAAAATAAATAAATAAAGAGAGAGAGAGATAAAGAAAAGGAAAAAAAATGAAGACAGCAGAGACTAGGGTATACAAAATAAGAATGAGTTAGGTCATGAGAAGAATGAATAGGGGAGCTCATATAGAATAGAAGCTGCTAATGTTGCTGTGTGCTCACTCCCAGCAGGCACTCTGGTGAGCATTTTATGTGTATCATTTCATTTTTTTAACCAAAGAAGTCTAAGAAAGTAGGTACTATTGCTATCCAATTTTGTGAACTAGTTTTCTCAGAAGTCTGGAGGATAAATAACCTTTTCCTAGGAGGTAGGGTGAATAGTTGGTAGATTCAGGGTTGAGAGGAGATAGGAAAGAATGTCATCTAGAATACATGAGAAACAAAAAGCCTTGGTTCATCTCTTCCTCTGGACCAAAGGAAGGACAGTGAAAGGACCTTGGTCCAGTAAATTTTACTGATTTGCTAATACTTTACCAGAATGAATTATTTTAATGCAAAACAATGCAAGGTGATAACATTTAAAATAAAACCATGTTCTGAGGATTTTAACCATCAGTTGAAAACAGTTGATCTTTGTGGCATCTAAAGGATGAACTGTTTTACATTTCTAACCTCATAAAACAGCCTGATTAGGCTGGGACAGGCTAAATGTGTGGGCCAAGATGCACATTTCCTGTTTCCACACTGTCCAGTGGTGGATACTCTGGGTACGCTGGCTGTTTAGGCTTTGTAGGACTGCTTCCATTTTGCAGGGCAGAATGAGATGACTACCCAGTTGGAATAAAGAGCTCACTAGAAAAGTATCCTCTTTTTTTTTTGAGATGAAGTTTCACTCTTGTCGCCCAGGCTGGAATGCAATGGTGCGATCTCAGCTCACCGAAACCTCCGTCTCCTGGGTTCAAGCGATTTTCCTGCATCAGCCTCCCAAGTAGCTGGGATTACGGGCATGTACCACCACACCCAGCCAATTTTGTATTTTTAGTAGAGACAGGGTTTCACCATGTTGGTTAGGCTGGTCTCAAACTCCCGACCTCAGGTGATCCACCTACCTCAGCCTCCCAAAGTGCTGGGATTATAGGCATGAGCCACCGTGCCCAGCAGAGTATCCTGCTTTTCAAGTTCATCAAAGACTCTGTGTACACATCTCAAAGAAAGAACATTTAATTCTACATTCAAGAGTAAATAATCAGAGTGCACTGCATTTTAGGTCTTTGTAAACATGTCATCAGGTTCTTTTCCACAATAGAGAATATAAGATCGACATTCCAGGCTGGGCG